TCTCATCCATGGGGACATGGGGGACATGGGGACATGGGGATAGTGGCAGTGCCATCTCATCCATGGGGACATGGGGGACATGGGGACATGGGGATAGTGGCGGTGCCATCCCATCCATGGGGACATGAGGACGGTGGCAGTGCCATCCAGTCCAGAGGGACACATGTGGGACTTTGGGGACAGTGGCCGTGTCACCCCAGCGGAGGAGACGTGGGTGATGTGGGTGACACGGGTGACATGGGACAGTGGCCGTGTCCCCCAACCAGGGTGTGGTGCGGTGACGGTGACACGTGTGACATGGGACAGTGGCCGTGTTCCCCCGGCCAGGCTGTCACCGGTGACGGTGACACGGGTGACATGGGTGACATGGGACAGTGGCCGTGTCACCCGAGCGGGCTGTCCCCAGTGACAGTGACACACGTGTGACATGGGACAGTGGCCGTGTCACCCGGCTGGGCTGTCACCGGTGACGGTGTCACGCGTGTCCCCAGGATGATCACAAACTGTCCCTGGATGAGCTGGGCAGGAAGTACCAGGTGGACCTGTCACGGGTGAGATGTCCCTGTGACCCTGTGACCCCCTGTCCCTGTGTCCCCCTGTCCCTGTGTCCCTGTGTCCTCATGTCCCTGTGTCCCTGTGTCCCCGTCCCTGTGTCCCCCTGTCCTTGTGTCTCCCTGTCCCTGTGTTCCTGTGACCCTGTGACCCCATGTCCCCCAGTCCCCGTGTCCCCCTGTCCCTGTGTCCCCCTGCTCCTGTGTCCCTGTGTCCTCATGTCCCTGTCTCCCTGTCCCCCTGTCCCCGTGTCCCTGTGACCCCATGTCCTTGTGTCCCTGTGTCCCCCGTCCCTGTGTCCTGTGTCCCCATGTCCCCCGTCCCTGTGTCCTCCTTGTCCCTGTGTCCTCATGTCCCTGTGACCCCATGTCCCTGTGACCCCATGTCCCTGTGTCCCTGTATCCCTATGTCCCTGTGTCCTTGTGTCCTCATGTCCCTTTGTCCCCCGTCCCCCTGTGCCCCTGTCCCTGTGTCCCCCTGTCCCCGTGCTCCTGTGTCCCT